CTGTACTGGCAGTTGTCATGCCGTACCCGTCGCGTTTCGAAAGGGAGCCCTCAATCGATGCGTCTACACGCACCGTGCCACCGCTCTCCACAACTGCTACCATGGACATCAAGCTCCTCGACTCGATCTGCGGCTACGACGGCGCTCTAGCTGCTGGCTCTCGCGGGTGTCTGGCGACCCGCTCAGGCTTGCGAAACGGCCGGCCGCGGCGACGTGTTTCGAGCTCGCTGGCCTTCTCCGCGCGGCTGGGCCCGCCCCTAGTCGGGGCCGACCCGCCCAGTCACTGGGCAGCGCGTGCGCCGTCATCCTGGACGACGGTGTGCTGGTGCATCCGGGAGGCTCCGCGGGGCTGCTCTAGCAGCCTCGGGAGGGTCGAAAATCGAAGCCGGAGCGGCGGACCACGGAAGCTCCACGGACGGTGAGGCGGGCTGTGGTTGGCCCCCCCTGACCGGGTGAGGGAGTGGCGCCCCGGGAGTGCCGCTCCGGCGACGTCTGTGGCCTCCACGGTACCGTGACCGCGGTGCTCGCTCTCGCGGCCGTCTCACGACCCGCTCGAGACGAAAACCGGAGCGGACGGTGCGACGAACCGCGAGTGGGGTGGTCTTCTCCGCGCGGCTGGGCCCGCCCCTAGTCGGGGCCGACCCGCCCAGTCACTGGGCAGCGCGTGCGCCGGCGTTCTGGACGACGGTGTGCTGGTGCATCCGGGAGGCTCCGCGGGGCTGCTCTAGCAGCCTCGGGAGGGTCGAAAATCGAAGCCGGAGCGGCGGACCACGGAAGCTCCACGGACGGTGAGGCGGGCTGTGGTTGGCCCCCCCTGACCGGGTGAGGGAGTGGCGCCCCGGGAGTGCCGCTCCGGCGACGTCTGTGGCCTCCACGGTACCGTGACCGCGCCGGCCTCGCTCGGGAGGCTCTTTCGGAGCCGTCGGCCTCCGAAACCGTCGCGTTGCTGCGCCTGGACGGCTTCGATGCTCGCCAAACCCGTCGGCACCGTTTTCAGACTGTGTTCAGCGAACCCTTAACCAACAAGAAATCACGACTCTCACAGTGATTTGGGCTCGGCAGCTTGTTAGCCCTCAGCCGAAGCTGGGGCCGGTCCCGTAGCCGAGAGAGCCCGCGCCGATGAGTTCGACGCGGTCGGGGGGGCCTGCGGAGAGGCCAGCGAGTTGGCGATCGCTGTACTTCATTGGCGCCCTCAAAGTGGGGCTGGCTGACAAGCCAGAGGTCGATACTCTGGACGACCCATAGGATGCCACGAATGCCTGAAGGAGAGGGAGGCGAGGCCAGAGGCAGGCTCAGCTGCTCTCGGGTGATCCCGCTTTGGAGGCTGAAGGACCTCGAGTGAAGGACCCGATGGTCCTGTCACATTCGCGTTCCGAGTCGTGGGGGTAGAAGAATTGGAGTAGAAATCGAGTCAGCACTTCCTTGTAGAGCTCCCCCGGACTGTGAATCATACAGGCTGTTTTCGGCATAAATTTCCTTCGTTTTGACGCGCGCTCACGCCTCTGCGCACCGCGCCTCGGCACCGGCTTTGCTGCCACCGTGTCGAGGACGCCCAGCCCTCGCATGGTTGAAGGTCCCATCAACTCATTCCATCGCCAAGTTGCTCGGCGGCCGCGCAATGCGGAGACCACCGAAAGCACCGCAGATGAGCCGTAAAACATGCCTGCACCTAGCTGCAGACGTGCCCACATTCTCCTCGGTGTCGTATCTGAGGCGGATTGACCTGGATTTTGACTCCACCGCCGCCACGGTGCATGGAAACCACCCTGGCGGCGCCCGTGGACGTCGAACGCTCATGCGCCGAGTCTTCTGTAGCCACAGCAGCAGCTACGGCGGCGCAGACTGGCGGCAGCCTGCACGGCAGTAGTCCAGTATGACTGTGGTGCGGTGCGGCGGTCGACAGCCGGCGGCATCAAATGCGGAGTGATCGCGGGCAATGCGGACTCCACCGTGACGCCACAGAGCCGCGGTGCGAGCCATGTGGCTCTATACACCGTCGCAAAACTGTCGCAGGACGAGCGGCGCCAGCTGGTAGCTGGGGCCGCAGGGCGGTCAGGCCAACACCGTATGCTAGTCGGAGTGGATTGTCTAGAGGTGTAAAGGTCGGTAGAGTGTCCGTTTGTGGCCTCCGGACGGGCTCTGGTCGGGAGCCCGCCGGGCCGGCTGAGGCTGTGTGTCCGTCCACTATGGACCCAGTGGTGGCTTAGAAGTGCTCTCT